CATCTTCAAAATATTATTGTAGGATGTTCTCCAGCAAGAAGAGAAGTGAATCCAGGAAAATGCCATGAACTAAGGAAAATAAGAAGTATGTTTGTGAAGTTTATCATCATCTAAATAAGCAAGTATCAGAAGAAACAATGTTATTATATAATAACAATACAGAATTAAAATCCTAGAGCATGTGCTAAAGTATTTCCTTGTTCAGTATATGTATGATAAGAAGCTTAATAAGCTGATACGAAAAAAAAAATGAGTTTGAAGCAACAACCAAAATAAAAGAGATACATAACTTCGAATTAGCAAGAAAAAAAATTAATCTAACTAATGGGAAATAGGAAAGCAGATATAAAGAAGTAATTAATGTGAAGAAAGATGACTGACATGTCTAAATATAGAAAATAATTGCATTTAATGTAAATGAGCTAGAAGCACTTCTGGAATGGATGCATAAGGATCTTGGAAAACCCACTCCTTCATAAAGGCGATAAGAACACTGGCAAAAATGGTCAAAATCAACTGTTTTCCGAATTCTTTAAATTAATTAAAGAAAAGCTTGCAATAATCTGCAAAGTGTCTATTGAAGAAAAACAGCTGAATCTTATCACAGTGAGCTTTATGATATTTTTTTTAAAAGATTTTATTTATTTATTTGTCAGAGAGAGAGAGAGAGAGTGAGCACAAGCAGATAGAGTGGCAGGCAGAGGCAGAGGGAGAAGCAGGCTCCCCGCTGAGCAAGGAGCCCGATGTGGGACTTGATCCCAGGACGCTGGGATCATGACCCAAGCCAAAGGCAGTGGCTTAACCCACTGAGCCACCCAGGCACCCCTGAGCTTTATGATATTTTAACTTGCTCTATTCCCATTCCCCTCTCCCAGGTCCCTTTGAAAAACAACAGCTTCACAACCATGATTGCTGTGAAAAGTAACAATCAGGTTGACGCGGGAGGTGGCAGAATGGATTTGGAGCTCTTCAGAAAAGTCCCATCCCCAGAGAACTGACCTTATTTGACTTATCTAACGTCTTCCTTAGAAAGCTCCATTCTGAAGTCTTGGCTTTATTGGACCTGACTCAGAGCTTACTCTATGAAAATAGGGCATTTGTTGAAACAATCAGTGGGAACTCTTTAACAGTATAATTGCCTGGGGTAGTGATCCAAGTTTGGGGTAATAAGAGGCTGAACAAAAAATCAATGAACGCATCCTGTGAGAATCAACTAGATTCAGGCCCTACAGCCAGGGAAGGAGAAGGCCTGTGAGCTTCACGGAGAAACCTGGGCCCGAATCTAGAGGTTTAACCACTGGTTCTCTTAGGGAAAAAAAAGTAAGCTTATGTCTGTATGTAAGTTTGTTATAAATTTTACTGACATACAAATTATAATAAAATATAAAATATTCCCGGGGCACCTGGATGGTGCAGTTGGTTGAGCGTCAGACTCCTGGTTTCAGCTCAGGCTGGGATGTCAGGGTCATGGGATCAAGCCCCAAGTGGGGTTCCATGCTCAGCATGGATCTTCTTGACACTCCCCCTGCCCCTCCCCCACCTCCCTAAAATAAATAAATAAATCTTTAAAAATGTATATAAAATGTTCCTTACTGCAAATTCCATATAGCCAGTTGATTCTCACAGGATGCATTCATTGATTTTTGACAAACACTTTTCTGTAGCCCACCAGTATCTGCAAATGACAAACAGGATCATTTGGACATGAATGTTGGTAGTATTTTCCTTTAAGCTAAGGAGGAAGATAAAAGCGAGAAAATGAATACATATGTCAAAATTGGACTTATTTGTTCAAGACGTGAGGAACTTGTTTTTGAATAATCCCTCGATTTTTTGTGTTATTCAGAATATTACTACTATAGGCACAACGCATACTTTTAGATTTAACCTTAACTTCAACATTTTCTCGGTCGCTTTCGTAAATCTAGAACAGGGTTGGCAAATTGTGGGCCATGGCCAAATCTGGCCCTCTAGCCTATTTTTGTCAATAAAGCTTTATTGGAATACAGCCTGCTCATTCATTTATACTTTAGCCTATGTCTTCTTTTGTGCTACAACAGGAGGGTTGACTAGTTGCAACAGACTATGCAGTCCACAAAGCTGAAAATATTAACTCTTCTGGACTTTCTAGAAAAAGACTGCCAGCCCTGGTCTAGACAATTAACATAACAACAAATCAACCCCTGACATGTAGCATTGGCTGATTTCTGTAATGTAACTAGTTCCACCATTGCTGACTTTCCACTACAAAGGTGGTGGTGTCACTGCGCCTGTGGAATTGGGAAGAGATTATCAGAGGCACACTTTAAAAAGGACAAAATACTGTTTGTTAGAAAATCCAAAAGAAAAAAAATTAAAGTGGTACCAACTGCTCATCCCTCATTTGTCACCCCAAGAGTCAGGGTGAGATGCTCCCACAGCGCTCCTTGGGATGGGCGTCACTCATAGGGTGTTAGGGATGCTTTTTGGAGCATGGCTCAGCTGTGTGATCACCAGTAGAAAGCTGGTGGACTCGGCCAGGGTCACATGCATGCCTAACCAGAGTGGCCCGTCCACCCCATTTCCCTGTCCATCAGTGCAAGACTTGCTCCTCAGCTCCCCCTCCCCTCTCATTCTTCTCTCCTTCTAACTAAGGGACAGCGAGAGTGGGTTCCCTTACTCGGTGGTTCACTTCCCCTCGGAGCAATAGAGGTAGAATTAGCATCACCCGCTGAGCTCACCTACTTGGGCTTAACTACTTGTGCAGACAAGATAAGAACATCTGAACATTTGAGCTCAGTTCTTCCACCTTGACACCACTGACATTTTGGGTAAGATAATTCTTTGTTGTGAGGGCCTACCCTGTGGCCCGTAGGATGTTGAGAATTGTGGTGGCCAGGAGCACCCCAGTAGCACACCACCAGTTGCAACAATAAAAAATGACTTCAGATATTGCCAAATACCCCCTCAGAGCAAAACAGCCTGCAGTTGAGAATTTAGTTAAACCAGTCATCTTTGAATCTTATCTCATTTTGAGCCCAAACTTGTATATCACTATGACTAATATATCCATATAAATTTTATTTCTGTTTCCAAGAGAAGAAATACATAGCCTTGGTTTTCTCACCTGCCCCCCACAACACACACACTTACCCCAGCAATGGGGTTTTGGCCATCTCACCGCTGAGCAGGCCAGTTCGGAAATTCCAACCTGAGGGCTAATTCCTGGGGCCGTTCTTGGTACCAGCACGCCTTAATGTAGGATCCTCATACGAGGACTTTATTGGCAAGTGTGAGTCCAAGAGCCAAGAGTGAGGGATGGGGGTTATAAAGCAGGGAAGGAAGGACAGCCATGGCAAGGATGCATTATCAAATTGGTCACTTCCTAAGGCATTTGTTGCTTGATCCTGCAAGAGAGAAAGCTTTATGAACTATCTGAGGAGGGTCTTTCTGAAGGGAAAAAAGAGAGAAGCATCAGTTGTTCACTCTGTTACTTAAAGAGGTGTCCCATGACGCATCGTCTGCTGCCCACCCCTGCAATCCTGGGTTTCTCCTGTCCCCGTGTTGACCAATTGCAGCAGACCCTTGACCACCAAGACACAAGCCATGACACAAGTGAGAAGCCTGAGGCATGGACTTGAGGAGAAGCTCACTTGGGTTCTAACTGCTGGTGCCCGAGTAACATCCACAGTGGTGAAATATGCAGCAGGTGAGGCCAAGAGGACCTGAAATGGGGCATAAGAGGCGTTTGACATATTTGGGCACCTGAACATGTGCATTGCGGTTCATTCCTGGTACCTATTCAACCAAAGAACCCTGCACATACTCTAAGCCTTGACTTTCTCTTTATAAAATGAGGAGAGTCACCTCAAGCCTGCAAGATTGTTCTGAGAATTAAGAGATCCTGCACGCATAAAGCCTGATCATGATGTCAGTTCAGCAAATACACTGTTTGTGTGTATGCATAAGAATACATACATATATATTGATTAGTCAGATGTAAAGTCTTCTCAGTTGATCACAAGGGTCGGGTGTGGTGAGGCCAGAGCCACAGTTTCCACTTTGTGTGAGCCCGGAATTAGGATTCTGGGACTTAGACAGCCAGAACCTGTCCACTCTACAGTTAACCTTCAGTAAACAAGTACTGCGTGCTGGGCTCGGGGCACCCAGAGACCAGAGACGTTCCTGGTCCTTGCAATCCGATCGCCCCCAAGCTGGTAAAGATGGGCAGACAACAGCAGTCGCGGTGCTGGAAGCAAGCCCAGAAGACAGGGGAGCGCAGAAGTTCTGGCGAGGTCCTAGGCCAAGGCGGGCTTTCTCAGTGAGGAGAAAATGGTCCCCAAAGGGGGAGGCAGTGTAGGCGTAACTAGGCCAAGACAGAAGGCAGGGCAAAAGGTTTCTCAGCAGGTCCGCCAGTGCACCTCCGCCGTGGTTTACTGGGTCCCTGCCGGGCTGGGGGTGGCGGTGAGCGCTTTGGGGGACAAGGGGGTGCGGGAGGCCATAGCCTACCGCTTCCCCGCCCCCGCCCCCACCCGGGGCAGAAGGAGGGGGGCGCGGGAGTGCCACACTTACTGGGGGTGTCCACGTGAACAGACATCACCCGCCCTCGATCACTCATTCGCAACTCAGAAGCGATTTGACTAATCCGCTCCATCACCGGTTAATTAAATTTTTGTGGCCAAAAAAGAATGCGAGGAATATTGATGACTTTTTGCCTCTTGACAACCGTCCTTCTTTATACTATTTTATATTTCAATAAAGAAAAGGGTATAGATAAACAGGAAGAAGACCCCACACGCTTGAGAATTCTCTTGTGCCGCCCACCCCCCTCCCCTGCCCCACAGTTTCCCCACGGGACGTGGCGGTGTCTGTCTCTTTAAGAACCCGAACCTCGGCCTCGACGGAACGCGGGGGGTGGGGAGGAAAGGGAGGAGTGCCGTCTCTGGAGTCCCGGTCCACAAAGTGTCCTGGTGCTGCGGTCTCTTTAAGGAGGCGGGGCTCTGCCCGGAGGAGGCGGAGAAGTCCCGCCCCCCGGATCTCCGGCTTCCGGCAACTTGAAAGGGCACGAACGTAAGCCGAACAACTGAGTCCGGAGCCTTCCCGGGACCCGCTGGACTCCGAGGCCCCCGAGGTGAGGCGGCAGGGTCTGCCGGCCCGCCCGGGACAGAGGTGGCCCGCGATCTCCTGCGCGCCTGGCGAGCTGCGGCCCAGCTCCTCCCCCTAAAACACTGCCTCTGCTTCTTGGGCAGCCCTTTCCCAGACCTGCTTGGGGTTCAGTGTGTCCCAGGCTGCAGGGTGGCCCTCACTCCAGCACCTACTAATTGCTCGGCTGTGCACTAAGCGCCTTACACTCGCTGTCTCATTTAATGGCCTCTGACACGTTGTGAGTAGGTACCATTACGAACCCATTTTACAGATGAGAAAACTGAGGCCCCGAGGAGCCCACAGTCACACAGCGAGGAGAAGCAGAATCGGGAATCAAACCCAGGTCTGTTTGACCCCAGAGCCTGTGCCCTTAACCACTGGCTAGGCTGAACTGCCTTTGCTCTTCACTGCCCTCATGACCATCTCTCGGACTGTAGCCTCCCCTTCCTCACCCTTACATCTCCAATCTGTACCTGGTTCTTCAACACTCACGGAGTGAGTGATATTGGATGGAACCTTTGGACCCCCGGGGTTAGTTTATTTATGACAGTTTCATAATATCTGATGCTAAATGGTTGTCTTTATACAGGACGTATCACACCCCACTAAAAAAAGGAGGCGGGGGAAATCAGTACCATTTCTAACAGTGAAATAAGAATTGTTTGCATCTATTTTATTCTGGTATCCTATGAAGTTTATTTATTTTTCCTTTTTAGACCTCTGCACATTTTCTTCTTACTAATTGGGAGAAGACCCACTGGCTGAATGGCAGCTGTAGATGACTTGCAGTTTGAAGGTACATCAGCTGGGTGCCCGCCTTTTATGATCAGTTATTTCCACAGTCACAGGGATGGGTTTTCATTGATAGACTGGCATTTATACTTAAAAAGATTATTTCAAACATCTTGGTAAAACAATGTCGGCCACATCCAGGTCTTTTTGTTTATCTACACCCGCTGTTCTTTTTTTGCCAAATAGCCCTTTAGATTGATGACATCATTAATTGAACACAGTGATTACAAAAAACGTTTATAGAGTTACTGCTTTAGTTCAAGAGACATTTACTGAGCCCCCACTTTGTACTTCGAACTTACTAGATACAGGAGATAGAAAGATAAAAGAGAAGTTTTTTACCCTGCTGGAGTAGATAAAAGTGTAAAAAGGTAATCATGGTGAAAGGTGATCAGGTCATTCCTTCATTGAAATGGTAAATATCTCATGAGTGTGATTAGGAACCAGGCAGTCATTCTAGTTATCAGGGATAGAAGAGTGAGCAAGACAGTTCACTCCCCTACTTAGCTCTCAATCTAGTGGGGGAGCTGTTAATTTGGTAAATGATCACTTAAATATGTACCCACAAGCTATGAAAATGCTGATGGAGCAGTTCATCACTTATAACCTGGAGCCCGACCTAGACTAGGGATGGACAAATGCTTATTTGTCTTGCAAACAGTCGCACAGCACTTACTGTATATTAGGTGCTGTTTTGCTTTACAAATATTAGCTCATCTGATCTTTATGTTAACTTTAGGAAATAGTTATTCTATTCTCCCTGTTTACCAGCAAGGAAACTGAGGCACAGAAAAATTAAGTAATCTGCCTAATGGTCACGTAATTAGCACGCGGTGAAGCAGGGCTTGAACCCAGGCAGCCTGGCTTCACAGCCAGTGTTATCTGAGGAAGAGATGGAATTAGTTTAAAGAGAAATACACCTCCATCTTCAACATACAACCAGCATCTAACCACTTCTCATCACCTCTGCCTCTCATGCTCAAGGTCACCATCCCCTCTTATGTGGATTATAGCCCTTACCTTCCTTCTGGTCTTCCTGTTTTCCTCCCTTGCCTCCTTGCAGTCTGTATTTTGCAGTCAGTAGTCCTTTGAAACTAAGTCAGATCATGTCATTCCTTCAGAACCTTCCAGTGGCTCCCATCTCACTAGGTATAGAAGCCAGAGCGTTTTCTGTGTTAGGAGGCCCGAAGTGCTCCAACCCTCCATGTCCTCTGATCTCCTCTCCTGCTACTCTTGCCCTTTCTCTCTCTGCCCTTCCCACATGGGCCTGTCACTGTCCCTCCTAGACACCAAGTACACTCTTTCTTTTGTGCCATTTTTCTGTTTGGGAATTCTTCCAGATAGCAAGCCCCCTCACTCTGTTCCAATCTCAGTTCATTTGAGAGGCCCTCCTTGGTCATCCTTTCTGAGAACAGTGGGAGAAAATTCAGCGTAGAGAACAGCATATGCAAAGCCCCTGAGGAGGGAGGAAGTTTGTTTGACTTTTTTCCCAAGTAATTGAAGGAAGGCCAATCTGCCAGAGCACAGACGGCCGGGGACACTAGCACAAGGGGAGGTTAGAGATGAGGCCGGAGCCAAATCACAGAGGTTAGGATAAATGGTGTTTAGGATTTTGCTCTTTAGAAGAGAACGCAGGATGCTGTCGAGGTCATGAAAGGCTTTCCTGAGGCAGTTGGTAGTTCAGGTGAGAAAGTGGAGATCAGGACCCTTCAGGTGGGAGACACTGTGTCAGAAAAGGAACGGAGACCACACAGAGCGTATGCCAGAATATGCCAGCATGTAGAAGCAGAGAATGTTGGTGATGGAAATAAAGAACATACGAGGCTTGCCCTCGAGGAGCTGGGATGGACATGAATAACTCATATGTAGCATTACGTGTGGACAGTGAGAGGTACACACGCTACCTTCCAGTCAAACCATGCTACCTGCTGTTTCTCAAACAGGGCACACATTCTCCATCTTCTGGTTCTTGCTCCTCACATGCCTTTTGTGCGCGATGCCATCCTACCCCACCTCTGGCTGTCCTCGTGTGGCATCTCCTTTGAGAAGCCTTTCTTAATCCCCTCAAATAGAGGAATTATCATCCTCCTTTTTATTTTTTTAAAAAGATATTATTTATTTATTTGACAGAGAGAGAGTGAGAGAAGGGAAAATAAGCAGGGGGAGTGGGAGAGGGAGAAGCAGGCTTCCCGGTGAGCAAGGAGCCTGATTCGGGGCTCGATGTGGGGCTCGATCCCAGGACCCTGGGATCATGACCTGAGCTGAAGGGAGACGCTTAATGACTGAGCCACCCAGGCACCCCATCATCCTCCTTTGAACATCTTTGTCCTTTCTCCCTCTCAAGTGACGCTCTCTTCCTCCTTTTGGCATGCCCTTCTGCCCACTGAACTACCGCTTTTTAAATATGAGACTTAAATGTATCTTCCTCTGTCTGACTCCCTCAGTTGTGACCACCTTTTTAAATGTTAGTGTCCTGTCCAGTCAACAAATGATAGCTATGACAATATTTATTATTATCTCATATCATCCCCAAAATCTCTCTGTAAGATAGGTGTTATCTACATTTTAGAAACAGAGACTCAGAGATATAGAGGCATTTGCCCAAGGTCATGGAGTGTTAGTCTTAACTTAAACAAAGGACCCTCTCATTCCAGAGCACCGTGCTGCTCTAACATTGCAGACTGAGGCTTGACTAATTGTTACACACCAGCCACCTAATTCATTTTAGTCGTTCTGGTTCTCGCCCTAAAACTGTTTATATAGCTGAAAGACAGTAAGAGTGTGCTTAGTTATCCTAGAGCCCCATTCCCATCTAGTTATCCTAGATCCATTCTCTTCTGTAGAACACACATTGGCATTGAAACAGTTTAGAAAATGTAATGGCTGTCTACAAAAAATTAGTTTTGATTTGTTATATTCCCCCATATTTTGAGACAGCACACATAAAAGAAAATTAAAATTTTCAAACATTTTATGTTTAGCAATTGAAAAAAAAGTACACCATTTTCCTGCTATGGTCTTTATAAAGGATTTAACATTTCAAGTAAAAAAAAAAGGTACTAGGATAACCTAGCTGTATCTTTTAACAGCATTTTTATATAGAACAATTTGAACTGGCATGCAAGCAACTTCTCTTGTTGTCACATACCTGTATTCAGAGAAAATTACACCCATTTTACAGGAAAATCCCAATACATATACTGCAGTAAGCTTAAAGCAGTGTTAAAAAGACCAGCGTGAATGGCACACAAAACTGCTTCCTTGTAAATCAACTAGAATTTCTGATCATAAAGTAGGCACAGAGAGATCCAGTCCTTAGGGCGTTGCTCTCTGGAAGAACAATACCTTTAAGTAATTTTTAAAAACTTTAGCATCAGACTGTTGAAGCGCTTGACAAAACTGCTGGTTGTAGGATTCGTGCTATGCTAGCAGTTTTATTTTTTAATTTTTTAAAAAGATTTTATTGAATTATTTGAGAGAGAGCACGAATGAGCACACAAGCAGGGGAATGAGGGAGAGGGAGAACAGACTCCCAGCTGAGCAGGGATCCCAACTGGGGTTCTATCCCAGGACCCCAGTATTGTGACCTCAGCCGAAGGCACAAAGGCGCAACCAACTGAGCCGCCCAGGCGCCCCCATGCTTTGTAGTTTTATAATAGTGCCCTGCCGTACTCTTCCTTAATCCTTCCAAGATTCAGAGCTGCCTTGAGTTTTATTCAAGAGCAGCTAAATAAAGTTTGTTAGAATACCCAGAGACAGGAAGTCTCCATCATTGCTGGTGGTTGTCAATAGTTGAGGTTCTTTTGGAAAGCAATTTATCACCGTGGCTTAAGAGCCTTATGAATGGTTTGTACCCCTTGCCCTGGTGATTGCAGTGATCAGTGTTCATAGGTAATAACTCAGGGGCTTTTTCTCTGCAGATATTTCTTACGGTGTTATTTTTGTAATGAAAAGTTGGAAACACCCCAAATGTCCAACTTAACAGTCTTTCCTACTCTTTCCACCTCCCAGCTGATGGAAGATTTTATAGTTTTGAACAGGATTGTTGTAAAGACTGACATAAAATGAAAAAATCAGTTTTTCTATAATGTCTAGACGACAGAGCAGGATGCAAAATAGTTTATATAGTATCACATCCTAGATCAGTACTTGGCACACTGGAGACGTGCAGTAAATATTTGTTGAATGAATGAATGTTCATCACTGGCATGACTCTACGGATTCACTGTGTAGAGAGAAGGAAACATACCAAAAATTATTAGTGTTTGCCTTTATGGAGCAGGACTGGTTAGTGATATTTATTCTGTGGTTTCTACTTTCACTTTTGACCCTATGTTTTCCATGGTAATTACATAGGAATTCTCGGAAAAATTAACTTCCATTAACATTTTTTGACCTTGAATCAAAGAAGAGAGGTTTAGATTGGGTACTTGCTGTGGGCCAGCCACTCAGCTAAGGACTTGACCCTGGTAAGATTTCGAACTTTCCCCAAATTCTCTGAAGATACTGTTCTCTGAAGATAAGTATTTTTCTCCCCATTGCGTAAGTGAGAATACTGAAGCTTATAGGCATTGGGTTATTTACTCAAGCTCATTTTGTTAGTAAGTAACTAAGCCAGGACTAAAATCCACGTCTGACTCCATATTGTGTTGTCTTTATAATCCTTTTAACAAGGTTGATTTCTAGATGAGTTTTTCTTCAGAGCCTTTTGCCATTTGTATCAAGTTGAGTCTATAGCAAAGCGGGGGTTGTAACAGCTTGCCTTTAAATGAAAAGTCTAGCATTTCCAGTGTGGATAAGGCTTCTGATTGCTTTCAGAATTCGGTGATGCAGCCACTTCAGCAGCAAACCCCGGTGCCACTATGATACACATCGAGGGTCCTAGTGAGAGCCCGACACACCAACCAGGACTCCCCAGAGGCTCAGGGGGTGAAGAGGACGATGACTTGCTGGGGAACGATGACTCTGACAAAACTGAGGTTTGAACTTGCCTTTGAAATTGGTTTTTCCTTTTAACGTTTTAAAAACTTCTTTATGCATTTATTCACTGTCTCCTGGGTGCCACACAGAGTGCCGGGCAGTGACGATCCAAAGGTGGGTCACATGTGTCCTCTGCCTCGGAGTAGGGGTACGGGGAGAGACAGACAGGTACCCAGGCCATTGTTACCCATGGGAAACATGCTGGTAAAGGGGACACCAGGGCTGCGGGAGCAGAGCGAGGGCATTGGGGAGGTAGTGACCCTAAACTGAGTCTTGGCACCAGCATAGGAGGTGGCCAAGGGAAGAAGGCAGGGAAGGGTGAACTAGGCAAAGGGAACTGTTTTGGCAAAGCCAAAGAGGCAGAGAAGAACATGGCACACACAGCATTTTTCCCGTCTTCACTTACATTGGGAGCAAAATATAGGTGAAGACAGAAGCTGAGGCCACATGGCTCGGCAGGGACCCAGTCGAATGAATAGGAATCGTATTCTGAAAGCTATCAGGAGCTACTGAAAGATTTTAGATGATATGGCCAGCTAAATTTAAAGATAAAGATACTGTGGCCTTTTTAGGTATAAATTGGAAGGAGATGGACTGGAGGCCAGAAGGCCAGGTAGGCGACCCTGGAGGTGGTCTAGGCTAGAAGTGATGAAGCCAGAACTAGAGTTAGACACAGGTGATTTGGGTGGTGGGGTCAGTAGGACTTGGTGAGAAATGGGTGAGGGAGAGAGAGGGTTCTAGGAAGACCTCTAGGTTTCTGTATCTGGTTGGACAGTAAATATCAGGGGCTGGTTTTGATCACAAAGATTTATTTCTGTGTGTACTATTGGTGTGTTCTGGAAAATAGAATTTCTATTAATATTTTAAAGATTTTGGGACGCCTGGGTGGCTCAGTTGGTTAAGCAGCTGCCTTCGGCTCAGGTCGTGATCCCGGCGTCCCGGGATCGAGTCCCGCATCGGGCTCCTTGCTCATCAGGGAGCTTGCTTCTCCCTCTGCCTGCCATTCTGTCTGCCTGTGCTTGCTCTCTCTCCCTCTCTCTCTCTGACAAATAAATAAATAAAATCTTTAAAAAAAATATTTTAAAGATTTTATTTATTTATTCATTTGTCAGAGAGAGAGAGAGAGAAGGCTCAGGCAGGCAGAGTGGTAGGCAGAGGCAGAGAGAAAAGCAGGCTCCCTGATGAGCAAGGAGCCTGATGTGGGACTCAATCCCAGGACCCTGGGATGATGACCTGAGCCGAAGGCAACGGCTTAACCAGCTGAGCCACCCAGGCATCCCTCTATTAATATTTTATAAATGCAGTCATGACTGTAATACCCTAGAGGAGTACCCCGTTTATAGCATTGAGTCCAGAGGCTTATTAAATAGTTTAGCTCTTGGGTGCCAGGTGGTCTTTGTGGAACTCCATGAAATATCAAAATAAGTATTGAAGTTTATGCTAAATTAAATATCCTTATATACTAGATACTGTGGCAAGATCTTAAGCCTAGGAGGGGTACCTGGGTGGCTCGGTGGGTTAAACCTCTGCCCAAATCCTGACCTCCCTTATTCTATTGCACCCACCCAACAAAACCCCTATTCTGGGGCATCTGGGTGGCTCAGTGGGTTAAGCCTCTCCCTTCAGCTCAGGTCATGATCTCAGGGTCCTGGGATCGAGCCCCATATCGGGCTCTCTGCTCAGCAGAGAGCCTGCTTCCCCCCCCACCTCTGCCTGCCTCTCTGCCCACTTGTGATCTCTGTCTGTCAAATAAATAAAATCTTTAAAAAAAAAAAAAAGATCTTAGGCCTAGGAGCCTAACTTTGATTCCTGGCCCAGCCAGTAGTAATAGCTATGTGGTCTTGGGTAAGGTACATGAACTTTCCCACAACTGGGCTTCCTCATCTGAAATGTAAGAAAATAGCAATGTTGACTGTTGTCGTCATTATCATTACAATATCTGGTGTTCATTCTGTGTCTAACAGCTGCCACACACCATTTAAAGTTCCTTATTGGATCATCTTATTGAATCCTCAAAACAACTCATATACGAGGAACTATTCTTATCTTCATTTTACAAAGGGGAATCCTGAGGCACAAAGTTTATTTATTTATTTATTTATTTATTTATTTTTTCTGAGGCACAAAGTTTAAATAACTTGCCTCTGTATACACAATTAATTTGAGTCCTCCAGAGAAATAGAACAATGTATATTTATAGAGAAAGAGGTTTATTTATTTATTTTAATTTTTTAAAAAATAATTTTATTTATTTGAGAGAGAGAAAGAGAGCATGAGAAAGGGGAGAGGCAGAGGGAGAAGCGGACTCCCCACTGAACAGGGAGCCCAACTCAGGGCTCAGTCCCAGGACCCTGAGATCATGAACTGAACCAAAGGCAGATGCTTAACCGACCAGGCACCCCCGTATTTATTTTAATATTTGAAAAATATTTATTTATTTCACATGAGTGCACAAGTGAGGAGAAGGGCAGAGGGAGAGAATCCTCAAGTAGACTCCCTGACCCGGGGCTCGATCTCACAACCCATGAGATCATGATCTGAGCTAAAATCAAGAGTTGGACCCTCAATTGACTGAGCCAGCCAGGTATCCTGAAAGAGGTTTGTTTTTAAAAAATTGGTTCATGTGATTGTGGATGCTTGGTGCATCCAAAATCTGATAAAAGTAGCTGGTAGGCTGAGATTCAGGAAGGAGTTGGAGTTTGAGTCCAAAGACATTTTGCTGTAGATCCAGGAAGAGCTGGTACAGCAGAGGAAGTCCAAAGGCAGTCTGCTGGAGAAGTCCCTCTTGCTCAGAGAGGTCCCCCTTTTTTTCTGTTCAGGCCTGCTCCTGATTGCTATGGCCTCCCCACATTGTGGAGGGTAATCTGATTTACTCAGAAAGTCCACCAATTTAAATGTAAACCTTATCCAAACACACCATCACAGAAACATCCAGAATAATGTCTGACCAAATATCTGGGCACTGTGGCCTAGCAAGGTGATGCATAAAATTAACCATCACACTGAGCAACAGCAGGCATCAAAAGTTCGAGAAATGTGTAAGGGGAAAGAAATCTTAAAACTGAAACATTCTGGGGCGCCTGGGTGGCTCAGTGGGTTAAAGCCTCGGCCTTTGGTTCAGGTCATGATCCCAGGGTCCTGAGATCGAGCCCTGCATCAGGCTCTCTGCTCTGCAGGGAGCCTGCTTCCTCCTCTCTCTCTGCCTGCCTCTCTGCCTACTTGTGATCTCTGTCTGTCAAATAAATAAATAAAATATTAAAAAAAAAAAAACCCTGAAACATTCTATCCATTATCTTAATTCATCTAGGAATTGGGAAGATGTTACCAATAGTCTATGATAGATACTGAATTCCTTGTCCTAACTTACAGAACATGTGGAATTCAATATCTTGATCAATACTAGATCAATCAATACTAGAGTTCAAAAGAAACTTCAGTTTCCTTTGTTTCAGCTTCCCTCCCAGGATATATGCCATCTGTGGTATGTCAGAAAGACAACACTTGAATACCTCCAGAAGCAGGCTGTTCATTACCATGGGAAGCGGCCACTGCCATTATTGGGCAACTTAAATCATGGAAAAATTGTCCTTTTAATGAACAAAAAATACCTACCTGGAGCACCTTCCCTTGTCATGCAGAACTTCTCATAGGCCATCTGTGCCTTGTGCTGTATGACTCCTCATGAAAGACCTGAAGTGGCAAGGGGCCTTCATTACACTGTCGAATAGTGGCGCTGTTGGGACCGATGTGCCCTCATGTGCCTCTTCTAAATTGGAATTTTTGTGGGTTTTTTTGTTTTTTTTATGTTCTTTTTTGTTTTTTTAGCTTCTTTTTTTTGTGTGTGTGTATGGGTTTGTTTTTTTTTTTGTCATCAGAGGAGTATATTTTAAGTGTTTAGTATGTGAAAGTAAATCAGTAGATCGATTTTTTGAGAATTCAGGTGGTGATAGTGCAAGAATCTTGAGGAGGTTTGTACATGTTCGTGTGTATCTATGCGTATATATGTTACTGTACCTGATACAGATTATATAGAACAGTCCTTCCTATAATCCTGTAAGGGGGATCTTGTTCACAGTGCTTTTTCGGGAGAACAGAGTCTAGTGATTTGACAAGTCTCTCCCTGGTGGACGGTCCAGGAATTGAAGTCTTTCGATGTGACTTCAAAAACGGACGCTTGTTTTCTATCAGGCTGAGCTGGGCACAGCTGTTGCAAAGTAGATGAATGCCGAAGAGCTCCATCTTCCATGCGTCTTGATTTGCCATTAGATCAGCTCCCAGTGTCTATGTAGCTGATAGAAGGAAATTACTTCCGTGTTCATTACATTTTATTTTACCTCTGACAGTTACTTGCTGGACAGAAGAAAAGCTCCCCCTTCTGGACATTTGAATACTATCAAACATTCTTTGACGTAGACACTTACCAGGTTTGTAAACCAGTTTCACCTTTCTTTTCGCTGGTAGTGGAAACTTTTGTCTTTTATGGTTAAACAGTCACATGACATGAAAGCTTTTGTATCCTGGATATGGTCTTACAAAAGTAAAGGTTGGCATTTGAAAATACTCTTATTGTAAGAGCTGTAATAACAGAGTTTCAGTTTTACAGTATTTGAATTTATTAAACTTTAAAGAAGTCTTCAGTAGACTTACTGCTGTGTTATTTTCCAGGTCTTTGACAGGATAAAAGGGTCTCTTTTGCCGATACCAGGGAAAAACTTCGTGCGGCTGTATATCCGCAGCAATCCTGATCTTTATGGTACGTATAGCATCGTTTTGATTCTTTACCGTGTACCGGTTGAATCCAGATGAGTCCGTGGATTGCCTGAAAAGTTGGAAAAGGGCACTGTTGGCGGGGCATGGGACATTTTATTCAGCTCTTCTGACAGTCTTTTTGGGGGAAATACAATTCTGTGTTATGGAATGCCGCGATGACAGGTAATTAGTGTGTGTTTTCAGAGTCTTCAAATGACACTACAAACTTGAGACGAATTAAGTCACTCTAAGAGAAGATTGTTGATTTTAACTCTAGAGGATTTGATGGTGGGGAGAAGTGTGGGGAAGGGACTCTCGCACTTACTCATTCGTGTGCCGAGTCCCAGCTGTCGCTCCGATGAGCTGGCTCCCCGTGGGGCTCAGCCAGCGGCACTGGAAGTCTGTAAGAGCAGCGGGCGGAGGGATGACTGTCAGCCTTGACCTCCCTACTGACTGAAGGAAGGTGAGAGGCCCCCACCCAGTGCTCCTGAGGGCAAGGACTCCCACAACCGCGGCCTTCCGTGTTTGAAAGAAGAGAAGAGAGCCAGCGGCTCCGGGTGCTTTCTGTGTGTGGGTTTTCTGCACAAGACTGTGTGCATGGTCACCTTAAGTTCTCTGGGGTAGATGCCATTATCTGCATTTCTCAAATGAGGACGCTGAAGCTCGATGAGGCTCAGGAAAATGTATGCTGAGTCCTAAGTAAGTATTAGAGTAATATGTTGCATATTTTGTACGTATGTTGATTATAAGAGGAGAAGGAATTCATGAGGATCTGTTGTGTGCCAATGACTGCATTCACTGTTTAGTCCTTTCAACAAGACTCTGGATCAAGTGTGATTATCCCTCTTTTCCCTGTGAGGAAACCAAACTAAAAAAGTCGAACTAGAACTAGCTCAGTGTTCCATAAAGCCCATCTTTATTCTCTTTGCCTGATGATTTTAAGCTATAGAACCTTTTCATCACCTGGCATGGATGTCCAGTCTTTGGAGCCAGTGAAAGGGGAATGGCTGCGGAGGAGGCTGAAGAGAGGCACCTCCCAGCTGGCTCCTCTCTCTGGCAGCACCAGCAGCCCCAGCCAGATGTCGGTGCCGCGTCTAGAGCACCAGGGAGCACCGCGCACACATCCTGCCTTGGCCCATGTCTCTCGTCTAAGTGTTGTCAAGGTGGTCTCTCTCCAGCTCTCTCATTCGTTCTTCTAGCCCGAGATCTTGAGAGACAGGCCGTGTGTCTGAGAGATCCGTGCCATCAGCACCTGGCACAGGAAGCACGCCAACAATTTTTGAGCACCCTATTTTGTGCTACAGACCGAGAATTCAAAGATGCAGTCATAGTCTCCACTCCCAAGGAGAGAGAAACGAGAGAACGAACATCTGTTGAGCCAAGTGCCAAGAGCTCAGCTCCGTGTTACTGTTTCACAGTTTTATTTTCCCCGCTCTGAGGTAGCCTTGTCTTACAAAAGAGAAAATGGAAATTTGGGGAGCAGAGCTTGCCCACAGTCACAGACTTAGCCTTGAAAATGACACTAGCAAACTGTGTGTCCCTGTCATTGGGGGAGAACCTGGATAAACTCACTTCATCCTCATGACAACCTGAATGTTATGAGGCAGTTACTCTTATTATCCCATTGTATGGGTGAGGAGGAGGACACTGAGTCACGCAGAGGTCAAGTATCATGCCTAAGATCCTGTAGCTAGTGAGTGGCTGGGCTCGGTTTTCAAATCAGCACCATAGCTCTTAACCGATATCCCCCACCACTCTGGTATGCTTCCTTTCATAGCAAAGTCAGGATTTGAACCCAAAGCTTACTTCCTTCACAATACTATTAGCCTCATGGGCTCATAGACATTGTTAAGAAAAAGGAGGTACCACATAGGTAAAGAGCTTGATAGAGGAGAAGACTGGGCCTTGGCAGGAAAGTGGAGGCAGTGGTCTGGAAAAAGGTGACAAAAGCATCAGTCTGCAGAATTGGAGGGAGAGATTGGTGAATTTGACTGCATGTAAACTAAAATATAAAATTTCTATACCACAAAATAAACCATAAGCAAAGTAAAAATTTTAAAAAAAGATTAAGCAACAAACCAGATGTAATATTTGCAATTCTCATAAGCAACAAAGGATGAAAAGCAGGAATATGTTTAGAACTCCTACCAGTTATGAGAATAAAACCAGTTATAAGTTCTGGGGGAAAATGAGCAATTCACAGAAAAGGAAACCCAGATGGCCCACCAAAACATGCAAAGATGCTGAGTCCCACCTGTAATCAGGGAAATAAAAACAAAACAAGATATTATATTGTGCTCATCATTTTAGCTAGCATGTCCAAATGGGCTTGTCTTCATTCATTCAGTTAATTCAGCAAATATTGAGCACTTCACTATTCTAGGCACCAGACACAGAGCAATGAGGAAAACAGACAAAAATCCTTGTTTTGAGGCAGTTTAGAATCTACTGAGCTTAGCAATAAACACATAAGAAAAGTCAGGTAATATACGCTAGTGGTGGGGTGCCTGGGTGGCTCAGTGGGTTAAGCCTCTGCCTTCGGCTCAGGTCATGGTCTCAGGGTCCTGGGATCGAGCCCCACATCAGGCTCTCTGCTCAGCAGGGAGCCTGCTTCCCCCTTTCTCTCTGCCTGCCTCTCTGCCTACTTGTGATCTATCTCTCTCTCTGTCAAATAAATAAATAAAATCTTAAAAAAATATATGCTGGGGCGCCTGGGTGGCTCAGTGGGTTAAAGCCACTGCCTTTGGCTTGGGTCATGGTCCCGGGGTCCTGGGATCGAGCCCCGCATCGGGCTCTCTGCTCAGCAGGGAGCCTGCTTCCTCCTCTCTCTGCCTGCCTCTCTGCCTACTTGCGATCTCTGTCAAATAAATAAATAAAATCTTTAAAAAAAAATATGCTGGTGTTAAAGGCCAAGGTGAAAAATTTAAAGGACAGAAAGTTTGGGTGGGGGGATTTGAAATTCAAAAAAAAAAAAAATTAAGAGGTGAATTTACTGTAAAGGCCTGGAGGAATCAGCAGCAAGCCACGTAGATACCTAAGGGGAAGGCATCTGAAGCCACGGGCGCAGTAAGCACAAAGGCCCTGAGGCAGACAGTTGGCTCGGTATGCTCAGAGAATAGCAGAGACTAGTGTGACCGGGCAGGAGGGAAGAAGGGGACCTAATAGAGGAGGTCAGAGGGGCAGAGTGCAGGGGTAAGTTATGTCGAATTTTGGCAACAAAGAGGACTTCAGCTTTTTCATGAGTGCAAAGCCACTGGAGGGTTTGAGCACAGGAGTGACGTACTCTTAAGTCAGAGCATCAGAAACATTAATACCGAGAGTTGTCAAGAATGTGCACAGCAGTGGAAACTTCTGTGTGTCTGGTGGGGATGTAAGCGGTATGCGAATGGGAGCCATTGGAAGATGCTCATACCCTACCACTTAGCAGTTCCACTCCGAGAGAAACTCACAAATACAGAAAAAGACATGGAAGAATATTGACTGCAGCAGCAATGCTTACAAGAGCAAATACTCAGAAGCAACCGCATATTCATCATCAGGAGAAGAGACGTGAACTGCGGTGTGTTCATACACAGAATCTGCAGTTTTTAAGAATGAATGAGATCGACACGCATCAAGGTGGCTAAATCTCAGAACAAAAGATAAATGAAAAAAAGTATGTCATAGAAGGATGTGAGAAATTTGACCCCGTTAGAAAGACTTGAAAAAGTAGCATGACGGGTACACCAGGGTTGGTTTTATCATTCTTTGTACTTTCTTGGGTGTTAGAAATATTTTATAATATAAAAATGCATAATGCAAACTAAATTAAGGCTCCCTCCCACCCCGCCCCATAATAAGAGTAAGAATTTGGCAGGAGAGAGGAAGAGAGAAGGCGTATGAAGCAACCTGGCAGGCCCTGGGATGCGTGGGCGGTTGTGTGCCTCTGGAATCCGAGCTGTCTATGTGCCCGCAGGCACAGGACACAGTGACTGTGTCTGTTGTGCATCGTGGTGTCCCCAGCATCCGGGCCCGGGTCTAGAGGACAGTGGGTTCTTACAAGTAACGGCCAGTAGGATATGATGCTCTCTGCTTTCTAGTGATAGAAAGTATAATACTTGGGCCACTTGTGGTCTTGGCCCATTGACAACACAGGGTCAGTTTTGTTCATTTGTTCAACAGAGCTTTGGGGGGTTTTTTAATTGCTGAATTGTAGGAGGTGTTTTGGTCTTGTTTGTTTGTTGCCTCTTTCGTATGGTCAGTACACAGAATAATACAGTGAACCAGATTTAGTACTGTAGCAGAGAGCGTGCAGGCTAGCGAGTCAGTAGCAATTAGTGGAAAGCCACTGTTGGTGAGTCTTGGAGCGTCTCAGTCGTCTCAGTCAGTTACTTGTGCTCCCTTTCCCACTGTCAGGAACCAGTCTGGCTTGGAGAAGTGCTAACCCGTTTCTGCCAGGCATCTCCCGCAGCACAGTAATTTTCTGAATTTTGTGATATGTCAAGGCACCTATGGTTATTCCCAAAGGTGTCCCAAAACATTGGTGAAATTGGAAAATTAAATTCCTAAAATTTATTAGAAATCTCTCGATTTAAAAATTCTGTTTGGGGGCACCTGGGTGGCTCAGTGGGTTGGGGCCTCTGCCTTCGGCTCAGGTCATGATCCCAGAGTCCTGGGATCAAGTCCCACATCAGGCTCTCTGCTTGGCAGGGAGTCTGCTTCCTCCCCTCTCTGTCTCTGCCTGCCTCTCTGCCTACTTGTGATCTCTGTCAAATAAATAAATAAATAAATAAATAAATAAATAAAGTCTTTAAAAAAAATTTGTTCTACATAGAACTTTTTCTAGATAGGGAGAAACAAGGGTGGCATTCATGAAATCAAGTGAAATCGTGAAAAGGATTTGCAAAGCACGGTGTACTCGTTCATGCAGTGGGATATTTGATAACCACTAAAAAAAGAGTGAGTTGATTTTTATGAATAGCTATGGTAGAATCTCTAGATATTAAAGTGGAAATAGTACAGAGCAAGATATATATGTACATATTATACATACACACACACACACACACACACACATATATATATATATATATATATATATATATATATACGTATGTATGTTATCATTTATATAAACACACACCACATACGCATTTGTTTATAGGTATGTAGAAATCTCTGGCAGGATTTGCCAGAAACGGGTTATGGCGGCAAGCTCTGGGGAGGAGAAATGCACAGAGCTAGGGAACAGAGAGAGAGGGAAGGAAGTTTATTTTTCTCTAGATTCTCTTTGTACCTTTTGAACACTGAACTATGTGCATGTATTACTTTTTCATTAGAAAAACAGAGCCTTAAACACACATTACTTGCACACACACACCCATGATAAACTGCTACATTAAATTAACTCTTCCCTAAAGTGTTCTGCTCGCCCTATTCTTCCATTTAGATTGCAGAAGGACCTGCCTGATTTATTTTTCTCTGGCATTAATTAACATTTGGCACTTAGATAAGGGAAGTAAACTTTGCTTCCTGTACCCCGATGGTGAAGATTTAACAAAATGTCCATGATTTTTTGGACGATCCTCTAATGAAAGAAGCTATAAACAAATTAGTGTCTTTATTCACCTAATTGTGGAAGGTGTTTTGGCCTTTTCATTCAGTCTCCCGTCTTCAATGCACCTAATTGCTGAGTTGTGTGTTTGACCTTTTAAAAAAGAAGATTCCCATTAAATGAGCATTGATTGCATCTAAAATTCATTTTCCCTTGCTTACATGAATAGCGAGAGGGAGATAAGAAATTACTCTGTAAGTGTCCAGAAGCAGGGCTTCATTTTCTTGACTGAATTTTCTGGTTTTCTCTGCAGGCCCCTTTTGGATCTGTGCCACACTGGTTTTTGCCATAGCAATTAGTGGGAATCTTTCCAACTTCTTAATCCATCTGGGAGAGAAGACATACCATTATGTGCCTGAATTCCGAAAAGGTTGGTGAATAGCTTGACTCATTTGGAAGGCTTTCAGTTTGTAACCATGAGTTCCTTTTACTAAGCTCTTGGGCCCCTGTCTCTAGGTGCTGCAGCCCAGCTTTTTGTCTTTAAGGATTCAAACATACTTATCATCTCAGAATTACCACCCATCTATATAAATCTACATGATCTTTTATTTTATTGTGGTAAAATACGCATACCGTAACATTGACCATTTTAACTCTTTTAATGTATACCATTTAGTGGCCTTGAGTACATGCACGATATTGTGAATCCACGTTTCTTTTGGGGAGCTGGAAGGCAAGGCCAAGTAGCAATTGGAATTTGTCCAAAGAAAAATGTGCAAAGTAAGTAAAAAGCAGTGTGCATGAAAGTCTCCATTGTAGCATTATTTGTATTATCCAGATGTTGGTAACAATAGGGGCATTGTTTTTTAAGTCTCGGTGACTCAACTAGCTGGGTCGGTAGCCCCTAATCATGAAGCACTTAGAACAATGTGGGACACTGATAATCCAAAATTATGCCTGTGCTGTTGGCAACATTGTTACAGAGAAGTCTGCAAATGGTCAGAGGGTCTCTCAGGGAGAACATAGAAAGGAGTTTGTCCTAGCGATGGGCTTGTGGATGACATTGTTTTAAAACTTCCTTTCTTGTGGCAATATTGGATTATTACACAAAGAAAGCAACAAACAGTGTTTTAGAGACTTGCAGAGGACAGCCGCCCCCCAGTGAGGAAGTTTGGCTTTGTAGGAGATTGAGTGTGTCACTTCTTCTGCCCTCTCTTTGCCTCCCCCTGCCCCTCTGCCTGCCTGCTGTCCTGTTGAGAGGCTCTAGATAGATGAGGCTAAGAGCACAGTCTCCAGAACCAGGTCACAGGCTTCAGGTTCCAGTTCCACCACTCATTAGCTTCTACGGATTGGGCAAATTAGCTCATTGCTGTTGGCCTCAGATTCCTTATGAGTGCAATGGGAATAATAATACCTATACTGTTGGGCTGTTGTGAGAATGAAGAATTGATGTATGTAAAGAGGTTGGAATAATGCCCTACACAAAAAAGAGTTCCTGCACATGCACACATATGTGTGTGTAGGGAGATACATAGTTACCTCTGTGTGTGTGTTATGTCTCTCATGTATCTGTGTGTGTGTGTCCTCATGTCCCCTTCCTTGTACCCTCCTGGCCCGTTTACATGGAGTCAGACTTGGATTCAGTTGCCTTTGTCAAATGACTCTGGTTTAACTCAATAAATGTTATTCATGAGATATAAACCCTGCCTTCAAGTTGTACAGAGGTTAACTAAAGAAAGATGGATAAATGAATATTGCTGTTAAGTGGGATATATTAAATTCTGTATCAGAGGTATGTGTAGGTATAGTGACAGAGAAGGAGTAATGGCCCTCCCTGCCTGGGGGGCTGGACACTCAGGAAGGTTTTTATCTTTTCTTATCTTCCTTGGTTGGGAGTCATGATAGAAATGTACAAGTAAGATAGTCATTGACTCTATCAATAAACATTTTTCCATTTTTTGGAAGATATATTTATTTATGAGAGAGAAAGAGAGTGGGGGGAGGGGCAGGCGAGAGAATCTTCCAGCAGACTCCCCGCTGAGCGCAGAGCCTTACATGGGGCTCAGTCCCATGACCTGTGAGTTCAGGACCTGAGCCAAAACCAAGAGTCAGATGCCCAACTGACTGAGCCACCCAGGCGCCCCTAAACATTTTTTCCATTTTATGTAAAGAGTATTTACATAAATACTTTACATACTTTATAGAGTACTTTAAAGTACTTTATAGAATACTTTAAAGAGTATTTACATAAATATATAAAGTCAGATCCTTCTTCCACCACTTGTTAATTATTTGACCTTGACCAAACCACTTAGCTTCTTTGATCCTGTTTCCTTATCTCTAAAATGAAGATGTACATTATGTGAAATAATGTATTTACATATCAGTTAATAATATAAAAGGCTAATTCTTGATTGAGCATTTATTACTTATCAATCAGTGTTCCAAATATATTTGTTTTAACTCATTTAACTCTAGTAATCTTATATGATAGTATACTGTGTTTATTCCCATTTTACAGATGAGGAAGTTAAGGCAGGAAAGGTAAGTAATTCACTTACTTAGAGTTACTTAGCTACAAGTGGCAGAGTTAGGGTTAGAACCCGTGGAGTCCACATGTGGAATCTGTGCCCTTGACTATTACACAGTGTTGCCTCTCAGTCTCTCAGTAATGTACTTAGTGGAATGTCTGACACCTAGTGGATGGCCGTAGGCATAGAGGCAATTTCTTCCTCTTCCTTTAATCCAAAAAAAAAGGGGGGGGCAGTATATCAGAAGAATTACATTTGGCTTAATGAGGGAGTTCCCAATGTGAAAAAAAACTCCCCTGGGAGCTAAAAATGTCTTGGCCAATCATATGTCTTAACCAGAGTCTGACTACAATTACTTGGCGTGCCTTTGTGCTTGCCAAGAGCATAAAGTGCGTCACCTACTGATTTTCCTGTAGGAAGGGCTGGTGCCATGGGCTTAGCCACACTTACTGGTTCTCCACTCCAGAAGAGGGAAAGCGAAGCCTCTGGAGCATGGTGCTCCTGGAGGAAGAGGAGGAAGGGACAGCAAAATACTGAACGTTGCTGTTCTGAGGAGCTGCTAGCTGGCATTTCCAGCACAGAAAGCGAAAGTGAGGAACTTTTTGAGTAACGATGTTCACCGAGTTTGTCGGTGAACTGAAACTCCCTACTTCAGGGAGAGAAGGCACTCTGAATAGCATGCAGAGCCAGTTAATCTGTACCCAGATTTTAATAAATTTGCTTGAGAAATCAGCATCAGCCCTTGTGATACTAGGAAAGAGGGTGTGTTCTTCTAAGGGCATAGTTGGCTTTCCTTTGTTCGAAATGCTTGATATGTTTCAACGCTTGTAGTGAGGCCCTCTGAAGTCTTTCAGTTGCATAATGCAGTGTTTAATACTTTAGCTGTTATTAAACAAATTATAAAAGCCACGTGAGAGACCACTGGTCATCACCATAAAGATGGTGCTGAAGATTCGTCAATCAGGACTGTCCTCGGGTGTCTGCTCTAAGACGCGACCCCACAATCCAGCGAAACAGGTGGACATGCTAGGAAATAAGGTGGGAGACGTGCTCTGATAGTAGTTAAAGGCATGATTACACGGGGCTTACCACCTCTGTCCTGTCCTCCTCAGTGTCCATAGCGGCCACCATCATCTATGCCTACGCCTGGCTGGTTCCTCTGGCACTCTGGGGTTTCCTCATGTGGAGAAACAGCAAAGTTATGAACATCGTTTCCTATTCGTTTTTGGAGATTGTGTGCGTCTATGGATATTCGCTCTTCATTTATATCCCCACAGCAGTAAGTACCACACTTCTGTGTGACGCCCTGGGCTTGTGGAAAATTCAGCCAGCGACATCATTTCTAGCCCCGCATCGATGGGCACCTGAAATATCCTTTGAATTTAGAAAGTCAGCAGGAGAGGGGATAGGGAGCCAAATGCCTTTGCTGGACCTCAGGCCCTTCGATCTGAAAGCATTCACCTCAGTCTGCGTGTTGGGATGTTTCTCCAGGCTGGGATAGAGAGGCTGGAGTGGCAGGGGGCGCCTGCCTGCTGATGGGCTCAGGGGACTTTATAAACACAGATGCCTGGAATGAACACATGTGTCTCCCAAATGCCTCCAGTAAAGCCGTCCTCTCCCTCCTTTTCTCTCAGGTACTGTGGATCATCCCCCAGAAGGCTGTTCGGTGGATTCTAGTCATGATTGCCCTGGGGATCTCAGGCTCTGTCTTGGCAATGACGTTCTGGCCAGCTGTTCGTGAGGATAACCGGCGCATCGCCCTGGCCACAATTGTGACAATTGTGTTCCTTCACACGCTGCTTTCTGTGGGCTGCTTGGTAATGGTCTTATTCCTGTGATCTTCCTGTGTGCTTTAGATAGAAATGCTGAAAGACCTCAAGCTGTTATTCACAATGATTCCTTTGAAACCGGCTCCATAAAATTAACATTGTTTTAAATAGACTATCCTAAATGAGAAGTGGTAAATTTAGGAGAATTTGATGGTATTCTCTGGATTTACCTAATTTCTGAAATTTGGTTATGATTCAGAGTCTGGCCAGAGGAAGTGGAGGTAGCTGAGTGTCTCTAATAGGTTGGGGTGTGGGGATGGGGGCGAGCTTGGCCTTTGGATGTCTTTGCTGGTTTTCTGCTCATACCTAGAAAGAGTTTTGAAATTTAAAATTTCATAGGTGGAAAGCATGAAGTTGGAGTCAAATTAGGAAAGGGGAAATATTTTTAAAGTGAATAACATTTAAAAGAGTCTTAGAGTTTAAGTATTTGGGTGTCTTTTTAGGGAAAGCATGTCCTTTTGAGTTGCACTGGCCCAGAGCAGAGACTGGCTCTGTCACTCACTGGCTGTGTGAGGTTGGCCATGGCACTTAACTTCTCTGTATCTGAACGTCTTAATTGATAACATCGACATAGTATTTCCTGCCCTGTAGAGTTGTTCTGAGGATAAAATAAAATAGTACATATAAAATATTTAATGTAGAACTTGTCCCATAAGTGCCCGTAAATTAGGTCCCTTTCCCTTGATCCTAAGGGGACATGATTTTCTATTTTCTGTGCACATTGTACACAAAAATTGTAGTCCATGGCCTTAACAAGGCCTGACACAGGGTTTGAAAGAACTCTGAGTCCAAAAATGTTAAGGTCACCGATGAAGGAAAGGACATGCCCACGGGAGGACATCCACATCACGGATGTCTAGACCCCTGGTTAGGTTTTACAGTTGTGGGAGTAAATATTTCTCTGGCACCATCTGATCTATACTATTTTTGTGTAGACAGCCTGGGTCATGCATAAGATCCCGATACTTGATCATTGAACCAGTCGCATAAAAAGGGCCGGGTTCTGAGACACAGAGCCGGTTTACATATACTTTCCATGTGTCTGAGCTTTAAATTTTTGAGACCTCCAGAAGACTGTTGTTTTGACTCATGGCAGAGTGACACCATTAATTTCTGGCACTTGGAGCCCCTGGGCTGATCCCTTGTAATGCTGCTGCAACCCTCCGTGACCCTTCTGTCTGCTGAGGAAGAATGTCCTTTCTCACTGTAGCCCTCTCACTGGCATGTCCCCATGTCTCCCTTGAATTTTCTTCTGTATATATCTAGTTGAGTCATTGATGGAGAGAAGGAGGCAGGACGAAGCGCTTCTTTGTTCAATTGCGTAAAGAATCAAGAGGAGCATGGCACGCCAGACTTGGGATCAGGGAGGAGGGGGTAACGGGTAAGAGTGTTGCTAAGAATCTATTTCATTTCAATCTAGTAGTGTTACTAAGAATCAATCTGTGTGTGGCGGAATTTTTTACGTCTATGCCTGTTCCTCCCTTTTGGGATAAATGACACTGACAGTGGGACTTAACCTGCCCATCTTGCTGCTCAGGAACTTGCTGGAAGAGAACAATTAGAGGGAAGCAGAAAGAGCCCTGCACTGCGAGCCTAGGCGAGAGCCCTCTTTCTCAGAAACTTGGCTTCCTCCTCTGTCATGGACATTCATATTTCGTGGGTTTTTGTGACCCTCAGTGAGATGGCTGTGAGAGCCCTTCATATGCTGTGAAGGGTTCTTCAGATGTAAAGAAGTTACTAGAAGAGTTTCATGTCATCTGAAGCTGCCAGGGCCCTGTGCTGCTCATCCCTCCTGAGTGCCTCAGGAAGGGTGGTACGAGGCCACACAACTCGAAAGACAGGCCCCTTCCATGGGTGCCTCTCGCTGGCATCTTCCTGCCTCTCCAGAATGTCTTTCCCATCATACACTTGGTTGGGAAGTTGGAGAAGACAAGGAGGCAGGAGAGAAGGCCTTGCCTGGTTCGCTGCTAAGGGACTCTGGGGAGCCAGGCACATTAAATGATGGAGCAGAGAGGGAATTGCAGGTGTAGGACCCCTTCTTGGAGGGGAAGCAGTTTTCTCCTCCTCGAAGAAGGGAACTATTCTATCATCAGGTGTTTAGACTGGGGTCTCGTTCTCCAGCCAGAGATGGCCTCCTCTGTGCTGTTCTGGAGATGTGCAGGCCGAGAGGCTGAAGCAGAGGTGACAGAGATGGGGTCTGGCTCCAGCTCCCTCACCCCTGCTTTGGTTATTTTCCCTCTCTGGACCCCACCTCCTCACTGAGAAAAGGGAACAACTGCAGGAGCATCTTTACTTTTGCAAAGACTGAATGTTAGGTGTAACATGAACAACACAAGCCGAACACATGCAAGATGGTTTTTTGTTGTTGTTGTTGTTGTTTTTGAAGATTTTATTTATTTATTTGACAGAGACAGACACAGCGACAGTGGGAACACAAGCAAGGGGAGTGGGAGAGGGAGAAGCAGGCTTTCCGCTGAGCAGGGAGCCCAATGTGGGGCTCGATCCCAGGACCCTGGGCTCATGACCCGAGCTGAAGGCAGACGTTTAATAACTGAGCCACCCAGGCGCCCTAGGATGTTGTTTTATTGGAAGGGCAGGGAGAAGAGTTGGCAGCAGAGGGGCACCAGCTGACCCAGACAGCTTGGCTTCCCACTCTGCCCTGGGGAGCACGGATTCGCATTTTCCCCTCAGTGTTCTGAAGCGTATGCCGGCCCTCTACCTGCCGAGGGCCCCTGGGTGCTCACGGCTGTACACCATGTTGGTAGTGGGACGCTCCTGGCCAGGATGACTAAGGAAGCCCCAGAGGGTGTGTGCTTGGCTGGCGTGTTTGAGCTGCACGAGCCTGTGTTTGCAGGGGTTACTGCTGATAGCGGACTGTCCTGTGCCCTCATACTCTGCCAGGTGACACTCCTGGCCTGACTTCTAGAAAGCCTGATGGTTCATCCTGACACTTCCGCAGTGCCTAGATCTAGATGGGGCACATAGGACAGGTGCCAAATTTCAGGTCACCCACAGAAGAGAAGAACGTTGTCTTGGGGCTGGACACTGCTAGACTGATACCCTAGCTCAGACACAGGGTTGTGTAGCCTTGGGAAAATCTCCATCTCTTTGAGCCTCCACTTGCTCATCTCTAAAATGGGGTTAACATTGCCTGTTATTAATGATCAAGTGTGTGCCTGGTGCGCAGTAGGCACTCCCCAGATGGTAACTGTGGTTGTTACTAAGGATTTGTGGCATTCTTGAACTAATGAGTTCTAGAATTATAGCTGGCCCTTAGAGATCATTTTTTCCAATCCCTTTGTTTTACACATTAGAAAACTGAGGCTCAGAGGGGTGGAGTGACTTTTTCATAGTTATGGTGTGAGTTACTAGCAAAGCCAAGTTTAGACCCTGGCCTCTTGCTCCTTTCTATCTGATGAGGGCCTCCTCCAAGAGCTTGGAAGAAAGGCACGGTTCCTTCACCAGGGGACGTGCTTTGTGGCTCTGTGCACCCTCGAGATAGCCAGAGGAGCCCAGCACTGGCAGCACGGCCGCTGTCCCCGACCCCCTTAAGAACCGTTTTTTTCCCACCTCAGAAAGCAAGTGCCAGAACGGCCCCTGGGAAGAAGGCTTTTAGAGCTAATAGGATTCCTCTGGGAATGTGACAAGCTAGGGGGGCTCTGCAGCTAGAAACTTGGAAATGGACTGTTGAAGAGTTCACACTGAGGGTGTTGGGGAAAGCTCCAGTGCGTCATCTTGGTGCCCCCTTCTGGCTGATAGAGAGTAGAGCTGTTGAAATGGTTCCTCACTTGGGTTTTTGTCTTTTTATCTTCTTCCTGCCCTGACTCCATGGGGGAAATCGCAAGTGTGCAGTGACCCCTGACTTATTAAGGGATTCCCCTTACTTTGAAGGACCTAGGTATTTTCCTGGGCTAAAGTCCAGATTCTCAGACTTTGAGACAGATCGGAAGATCCTCCTTGGTTTTTTTCCCTCTTCTATCTCCTGATTTTTTTTTAAAGATTTTATTCATTTATTTATTTGAAAGAGAGACAGATAGTGACAGAGATAGAGAGAGAGAGAGAGAGCACAAGCAGGGAGGAGAGGGAGAAGCAGGCTCCCCGCTGAGCAGGGAGCCCGATGCAGGGCTCCATCCCAGGACCCTGGAATCATTACCTGAGCCGAAGGCAAACACTTAACCCACTGAGCCACCTAGACGCCCCTGCCTCCTCCTGATTTTTGACAGTGAAGTCATAGATGGTGAATGGAATCACTTATCAGACCTTTCTTTTCCAAGCTGGAGAATTATGAGGTCAGGCCTGGCTGGCACTTTTTTGTAAAGGTCTTTACCAAGAGCCAGCTGGTTTAGCAGCAATCTGTTGTGCCTCAGTTCCTTGAGTTTGGGTTGTTTACATCATGGGCCAGGCCCTGAGTGAGAGGCTGGTGGCATAGGGACAGGAAGGATACTGTCTTTGCCCTGGAAGAGAGACTGTGTAAGGTAGCGATGAAGAGCCTGAACCTTGGAGTCAGAAAGACCCGACTCTCCCACTCACTAGCCATGTGCGCCGGATTGAATGACAGCCTCTCTGTGCCTCCGTTTCTCGTTTGTCAAGGAGGATAATCATAGCAGCCTTACAGGGTTCTTATGCAGATTAAGTCCTACGCAGGAAGTAGCCAATAAACAGTGGTTACATTTTAAAAAGTAACTCCAAGTAAGTGAGATGGACAGAAACAGTCGCTTGTAGTTCCGTGGGATGACAGGCATGGCAGAGGGAAACATAGGGGCCATGAGAAATACTCTTAGCCTGGAGTCTAGAACACTCGAGCACACTGTTGTGTTTTAACTGCCTGCATGCATTTCCTTTTCCTGCAGGCATACTTTTTTGATGCGCCAGAGATGGACCACCTCCCAACAGCTACAGTTGCTCCAAACCAAACAGTTGCGGCAGCCAAGTAGCTGAAGAGGAAAGTAAGAGATTGTATTATTGTTTCGGTTTTTTTTTTTTTGTTTTTTGTTTTTTTTTTTGAGGTTTGGTACAGTAACAAATGGGCAAGTGTGTCACTTCCGAAATTGTTAACATCAGGAACCAAGAGGACCAGACCCTTTTGTCTTTCCATACGATTCACTATGGTGTTTGGGCACAAGCATGTCTGTATCTACGTGGCCCGCCAGCCGGAGTCCTCCACTGTGAAATCCGCGTGGTCCTGGCGTGATAGATTTGGGAGATGTGAGCTCTTAGCTTTTTCACTGGAGGAGCTCCTGCCTTTTGGCCCCAGCATCCCCTCTCCTCTGCGCTCTGTCCTCTTCCCAGGAACAGAGTATGGGTTTGTTCTATTTGGGTACACTCCTGGTGGTTTTCCTAGTTTCCCTGTGACTTCTCAACCTGGCCTCAGATCCTGAGTGTGACTTCTCTTGAATTACTCATAGGGTTCCCAAAGCCTACAAATGCTCATGGCTGGTTTGCTCTCTGGCCTCTTGGATGATTCTGTTTCAGTGGTTGGCTCAGTAGGTCTGCGTCCAAGAACAAAAGAGACAAATCCTCCATGGCTTATTCCTTGCCTCCCTGTTCCAGCTCCTCAGTGTACCAAGGCTGCGGCCATGCTGAACTTCTTGCCATTGCCATAACACACACTTGCACTTGCCGTTCCAGATGTCTGAGTATTCCCTCTATTCCAGCAGTCATCACGTTCCTTGTGATCCCGTGACACCTTGTATTAGACATCGCTGTTAATGGTGCTGGAAGCACGAGTTCTTCATGGTCTGTGTGTCCATCTGTGCAGTCATGTGTTCATTCATTGATTCATTTGTCCTCCATGGACTGGTGTGCCTCTCCAGTTCAACTCAGCAACATGAGAACAAGAAATGGGTATTATTCTTGCTTCTTTGTTGCTCACCACAAGACCTGGTATATAGGGAGTGCTTAGTAAATGTTTGTGGGGTGAATGAATGAAGCCACACTCTGCACATGATCTCCCTGCCCGTGGAGAACCTCTAGTCTGTTTTGTAATCGCAGGGTGACCTTCTCCTTTCCCAGAGCAACAGCGTGTGGTGCAAAGACCAGGGCCTTTGTAGTCAAGTGGAACAAAAATGAAATCCTGGCCTCACCACGTACTAGCAGTGTACCTGGGACAAGGAGCTTAATGTCTCTGAGCCTCAGCCAATGTAACTGTGAAAGAAGGATGATACAACCTGTACTAGATTAGAGATCATGTTTATAAAAGCTCCTGGCTCATATTTAAGATGCTCAGTGACAGAATCAAGCTACTGGCCCTCTGAGAGTGGGTCTGTATTGGTGTTGAAATTTGGTGGTTCTCACAGACTTTACCTTGACTCTTTATTTCCTTTTTGTAAAACCAAATAGATTTTTCTTCTTAGTTGAGGAATTTTGGTTGCAGGCCTTGCAAGTTGACAAGATGTGGTTGGCCAAAGACACCTCTGGCCATCTTGGTGGTAAGACAGTTGCCCTGGCCAATGGAATGCCTAAGGAACTATTGTAAATGTCACCACCCACCTTCCCCTCTTCCCCTCTTCACATGGGGATGTAATGATGTCAGAATCAAAGGTCAGAGCCCTTGGAGATAGGGTGGGCTCTTCTCTCCTTTTTACCATAAAGTTGAGGCCAAGAGAGAACAGTGCCTTGTCCAAGGCCATCCCAGAGTTTTGTGACAAACTAACGTGTATATCACATTCCATTCTACAAAATACCATCTAGATCACTCTCTCTTTGTCCACTGTTAGCAGCCTTACTGACCCCATCATGTAGATAAGGAAGCTGAACTTAAGAAGTTTGAGTTGACTAAGATCACCTGCCTCTTTTTTATTTTTTTTAAAGATTTTATTTATTTATTTGACAGAGAGAGATCACAAGTAGGCAGAGAGGCAGGCAGAGAGAGAGAGAGGAGGAAGCAGGCTCCCCACCGAGCAGAGAGCCTAATGGGAGACTTGATCCCCGGACCCTGAGATCATGACCTGAGCCGAAGGCAGAGGCTTAACCCACTGAGCCACCAAGGTGCCCGATCACCTGCCTCTTAAAAGGCACAGCTGGGACTCAAACCCAGGTATTCTGGAGCCATTTCTTGAGGTTTTTCTACTTTCCCACTTTTAAGGTTGATGTTCTTTTTACCCCTAAAATTTGCAGGCTCTCACTCCTGGACTTTGGCATCTTTTTTGAACCCTCCTTTGATTTTCTAGAGATGCTTCAGTTCAGAGAATCCATACTTATTGGATTGCACAACCTCCCAGGAATTTGAGGGCTGTATTAATTATCTATTGCTGCCTAACAATGTTACCTCAAACCTAGCACCTTAAACAATGCCCATTTATTAGTTCAGTTTCTGTGGCTCAGGAGTCTGGGCATAGCTTAGCTGGGTTCTGTCCTTCAGGTTCTCTTACAAGGCTGCACTCAAAGTGTTGGCCTGGGCTGGGGTCTCATCTGAAAGCTTGACTGGAAGGATCTTCCTCCAAGCTCACCAGGTTGTTGGCAAGATTCACGTCCTTGTGGTCTGTTAGACTGAGGGCGCTCCTTACTAAGTGTCACCTGGAGGCTGTCCCCAGTTCCTTGCCACATAGGATGGCTGACTTCATCAAAGCCATAAGTGGAGATAACAGACAGTCTATTAGGAAGACAGAGATAATATAAAGTAAAGTAACTGTGGAAGTGATATCTATCACATTGAGTTTTAACTCAATGCTATAATCCTCTTTAACAAAGCTTCCAGACTGTATGACTTTCCACCATGACTAAAGCTGTTTTCCACCAGCCCCTTCTTGTTGTCCACACCACATCTGAATTTTCCTATATTCTTTTGATGAGATGCAAGTTACAAGTCTTGCCCACACTCAGTGAGACGGAATTACCCAAAGGCATGAGTACATGGAGGCAGGGATCACTGGAGGGCATTTCTCACTTGATCTTGGCCAAAAGGCCGAGAAACGATAGGAGGGCATTTTTATTTTACACTATGTTTCAGCTTTATTATGGTATCATTAACAAGAAAATTGTAAGTTACTTAAAGTATACATTGTGATGATTTGATCTACATGTACATTGTGTGGAGGCCATTGTGTAGTCTGTCCGCCATAAGCACACACCCTTGTAATATGTATGTATTTGAAATATTTACATAGTCTGTTGTCAATCCGTATAGTAACTATTAAAGCTTAATTTTTTATTTTTTGATGAAAAATAAATATTAATAGAAGTTCTAAATTTTTCTTCCATTACCTCAGTGGGTGGTTTTTACAGTCCACTGCCTTAGAATGAGCATATGGTAGCTTGTTTGCCTTATGGTTTGATTGTCTACATACTTGTTAAGCTCCTCCTGCAGATGGATTTCATTAACTGTTAGCAGAGAAGGCCCTGGGGCAAGGTGGGTCTCTTCCTGAGATTGAAGTCCATGGGAAAGGGATTAAGTCTGATTGGACTTGAACTCCCCAGTGCTTGGCCTAATGCCTGCCTGGCACAGACAGAGCAAGTGCTCAATTAACGTTGGGTGGCTGGAGGTGACCCTTTGTAAAATTAAGGCAAGAGGGGAGATGTGGGCTTTTATCAGAGATGTCTTGCTCACGGAGCCCTCATTTACTCTTTCACTCAGCATTTACTTGAGGCTGTTCTGTGGCCTCCGTGGTCCAGGAACTGGAGACCTAGAAAGTCAAATACAGTCAGCCTCGGGGAGCCTTGGTCCATGGGTAAAACAGCTAAACAGATAATAAACAGGCAGTGTTTGTAGAGACGTGCCAGACCCAAATTGTGAATTGGTGAACATGGTGGGAGCACAGAAGCTGTGACTCACTGGCCTGAAGGAAGGCTTCATAGAATAGGTGTTGTTTGAGCTGGACCCTGAAGGTTGGGCAGAAGCAATCAGTTACCTATTTTTCTGAAGAGAGTAGTTAGCTTCTCATGGCGTTTGGGAAGGTGAAGTCATAGGTTCATTGGGACACAATGATGTGATGTGGGCTCCTATCCCTGGGAACAAGAAAATCTGAGCCCAGCTGGAGGACAGAGGTTGAGCCCACAGTAGCAGCCATTGCTTGGGTCTCTCTTGGCCAAAAATACCTGACATCGACCTAGGGAGGGGCTCTTTCAGGCTGCTCCTGTGTTAGAACTCAAGTTTCTTCCTTGCATTTTGTTATGAAGGCTCCAGGCCAGTGTCCCAGGTGCTCGAAACCTTCAGAGAGTCAGAAGCTGGCGTTTGAGAAAAGCCTGGTCCTCCGGGCCTTTGTAGACCTCCCATCCTGATTTATATAGATTTGACACCTTTGGGCTTTGCTCAGATCTATAAACTTGGGCATCAGTGTCTCCGTTCGGGTGTCAGGTCTCCAAATGAGATAGTGACGAAGAGTTTCTTTGGAGCTTCCATGGCAGAAGCATCAATCGCTTTGCCAACGAGGGCTGTCCAGAGCCCCAGGCTCTGCGGATTTATGAGCTGCCTGCGCCTTCTTCTGTAATCTCTAGACTCCCAGCTTTCACTGAAAAAGAATGGTTTCTAATCTCGCAGATAACCTTCCTCATGTAAATCTGCACACTGGAGGGCTTAGCCTGGCATGGATTACCAGGAGAACATCCACCCCTTCTCTCCCTGGAAACTCGGGATCACAGAGGAGCCTCCAATAACTTGTGATCAGGGAAACCACCCCTATATAAATCATGGAGATATTACAGAGAATATCTGGCTTGCTTCTTCCCTCTTTTCCTTCCTTTTTAAAATTTATTTATTTATTTATTTATTTATTTTAAATATTTTATTCATTTATTTGACAGAGATCGCAAGTAGGCAGAGAGGCAGGCAGAAAGAGGGGGAGGAAGCAGGCTCCCCACAGAGCAGAGAGCCCGATGCGGGGCCCGATCTCAGGACCCCGGGATCATGACCTGAGCCGAAGGCAGAGGCTTTAACCCACTGAACTACCCAGGCACCCCATACTTCCTTTTTTTTTTTTTTTAATTAAATTATCACCTGAGGGCCAGTGCC